CGCCTAGGACAGTCATTGTATAGGTGTAGTATCAAAAACAGTCATTTATGAAAAACCTTTTTAATTTTTAATACCTCTCCCATTATTAAATTTATACTACTACATGAGAAATTTCTGCAATTTGATTGGCTTAGAGAAGTGGTATTTCAGCTTAATTTGAAACACCTACTTGTGAAAATTACAAAACGTTTGTGGGTAGTAGTATAAACAAATAATAACATGATTTGTACGTGATATTTTGCATAAATACCACTCGTGACATTTCAAAATTGTCTCAAATTTCACTCGCCTAACGGCTCGTGAAATTACGTAATAACAATTTCGAAATATCACTCGTGGTATTTATGTCAAATATCACTGCAAATCATGCTATTACCAATACTTAATTTATTTTAATATACTTTCTACCTCGGCTAAGCCAGTACTATTAACCTAGTTTAAGATTACTATCTAGAAACCCAAAACCAAAAGCTAACCCTAATAAAAACTTGTCAGTGACAGAGACTGAACTACAGCTTTAACCTGAAACCGGGTGTTACAAACGTATGTTTACTCACTTTAGCTGGTGGTATTATCCAAGTTGAAATAAGTGTATTTTGAAGAATACAGAATCAATGCATGAAAGTGAAATTTTGGGCAATGTTTGAGAAAGTATTGAGTGACAAGTTGTAACCGAATGTTCCAACCCGTACAACCTCCGCAATAAAACAAAGCAACGTCATTTTAAGCTAATTTAATGGCCAAAAAAGAACCAATTTTTTTTAAAAAAATTCCTGCAAAGGGTACACTGCAAAAAAAATTCTTGCGAAGGCAATCGGCTAGGAAAATAAAACCGGGCGGGCCAAAAATTACCCACCCCCACCCCCTCATCACTTTTCTAATGACCCGTCCCTTACAAAGTTGTGACTCAAGGATGAGTAAATGGCAATTCACAGTAATCTCTCTCTTTAGGGAATCTTCCCTTTATAGCGATCAACAGGCTTGTGCTTGTCCAAATCGCTATCGGCAATGCATTCACAATTGCAACAGTTATGTGCCTTTTCCATTGCCTTCGCCAGACTGCCATAATTGGCCTGTTCTGATATCGAGTCTCGATAGCCATACTTAAACACGTGAAGAACCACTCTATAACCAGTGGAACTGTTGTGGTGATCGCAAACGACTGAACCAACTCCAGTACTGTTTTGCCGTCAGTGTAAAAATATTCATGCAAGTGAAGAAAGCCGTTCACGGAGATAACAGCGCTCGCCTCACACAGCATACTCATTATGACGATGTCTGTCGCTAATCTCTCACGTCGAGGAGTGCGAAAACTTCCCCAAGAAATGCGTCGTCTTTCACAAATCTGATGGTTAATGTAGTCAATCAATACAACGATGCTTCTCTCTATAACCTCTGCAATACCATGGATTATTCCGATCAAAGCCACGGATTTTAAAGTATTCAGATCCACTTGCAAAACTCTTAACATGACAGCCGACCCATAATAGAGAGGCACAAGCAACAGAAACGACGTTCCTGGATGACTTATTCTCCATAAACGCTGCACGCAAAGGCGTGATGAACCTTTCAAAACAACCGTTATCAGAGGGGTGAACACAGCAATATAGATTTTACCTGTTTTGTCTTGCTTGTTATACGCTGGATAAATGAAGTAAGAAACCAGTATAGCTACAGCAAAAGTCAAAGCGCAAGATCCTATCATCCACAGAAACGTTAGTTTTCTTGGTCCGACGACAGCTCGAAAAAAATGCTTAGCAAGAACCCAGGATTGCACGCCGATACTAAACGAAAATAAAATATTTCCAGGGATTCTTTGCACACGCGTTAACTGTGATGAAGAAATACCGAGGGCCTGAAGAGAAATGCGATAAGCAGCATCTAAAACGTAAAAAACGACCGATACCAGGAAAAGTTTCCTTTTCAGTCCTATGATTTGATAGGATCTAAAGAAAAATAAAGTATTAGCAAAAAACCAAAGATGATCAAAAATGATTGCTATGCCCACAGAAATGGTTTTCGACCACTGGATGTTTGCTGGTACGGAGTCCTTCGGTCGAGCCAGGCAAACCAATATGACTTGATAGGCAACATAATACACAAAAATAGAGAACGTTCCAATCAGGGTCGCAGCCAATATGGAAATAAGGAAACCAAAGTACATTGAATGCCAAAGTGTACGTATTTTCGAAGGTCTGAATTTCTTCCACTCCATTGCTCTGGTTTCTTGTTCGTCCTGTGAGTCATCATTGTCTTCTGGCGAGCAAGCGTCTGAAATGCGTTGAACAGCACTTCTGCGGACTTCTCTGTCACCGTACTCTTGGAAAATAAACTCGTCAACGGGATGACTGTTCCATTCTAAGCCAGTGCTTTCCAGAAGATGAAAACCGAAAGTTTCTGGATCAAACTCGACGCAGTTTGGGTCGTAATGTTCAGCTACACTGCGTGTCAATCCAAAAATTATACTTCCACATACTTCCACGAGAGCACTTCCAACCATTTTTGATGCCGGTCAGATCAAAATATCAAGGCTGATTATAGTTTACGATTGAATCAATATATACCGCAGTTTGAGCAGTTGAGGCGGTTACCTTCACTTAAGGTTTCAAGCAGTTATAAAGGATGTTTACGACGCAATCACGCTGCAAAAAAGGTTTCCAACAATGAAAGAAGTAGTTGCTTTCTTTTGAGACAAAAGTTGTTTTTCTTAAGTTTTAAATACTAGATTATACATTGAAGTCGGTCACGGAACGTCCTAGAAGACGAGGGTCAGATTCTAATGTGTTTGTATAGTTATTGCAAAGCCGGCAAAACCGAAAGCAAGAATGTCAAAAACTTCTGACAATTCGTAACTCTTAAGAACAGCTAGTGATGTGCAATGTGATCGTTTGCTAATTATCTGAGAACATTTGCTGAGAAAATATGTCATTTATTATTCTTTTAAGTGTCATTCGTTCTTATAGTAACTTTAAAAAAATAGGCAAAAAAAAATTAGGCATCTTGTCGTTTCAGCTTCAATCATCTACCATTCACATAAAACGGTATTGCATGCTTGTTAATAAGAGTATTTATCAATTGTTCTGAACTAGAGGTGTATGTCTTACTGCGAATGCAGTTCACAACATGAACCATGTTATCTTTCACCCGGTATTCTGCACCAAATACAATAAAGGAGTGTTGCTACTGACACAAATCAAAAAATCAAACATTTTGTCCCAATGTCATATTTAATATCACATCTAACGATATTGTAGAAAAGAATAAGAAGAATACAACTTGTAGCTAGAAGGGAGCCTTCACTTATTATGACAAGAAACGAAATATTTCTGTTAACATATTTGACAAGGTATAAAAATAGGGTTTTATAGAAACAATGGTGCCGCATCGTATCACAAGAATGTGCCTAAGACAGAAAAAGGATAATACGGAAATCACTGACTTTAACGATTGATGGATATTTGACCGGACTGTGAATGCTTACGTATTCTTGACCTTGTGTGATTTACTATTCTCTAAAGGTCTCTTATTATCAAAGCATTGGAACTTAATTTTTAAATTTGACTGTGTATGGCAACAATTACTTTATTTCTAGACCCTGGGAGAAAGAGTGGAAAGCTTCAATGCTTTAATATCAAGACACTTTGAGACAATATTTATTCATACAGCTACATACTTTGACGCATGTCACTGTTACCTATGCAGCACCAACCAGTATCGGATAATGTTTTTTGATTTTCCCATTTCCCCTTTTCTCAGTTCTGTTATCATATAGCTAATAATAGTTTTTACAATTATGCTATAGTTTTTAGCCTTGTAAATAGTTGATATAATATTAATTATTTTGTTTTAACTAATTTAATTGTATTTCTCTTTTAAATCAGACGCATTAGCTACTTAAGCTAAATGCTTAGCAAGCTCCAGGTATTCGAGTGGTGATAAATAAATAGTGTGTATAGGACATACGGTTCAAACATCACTCTTTATAGAATGGATCAGGAATGATAGGACGGATAATTATTGTTGCACTACTAATTTTGGAAACAAACTAAACCTTGCTAAAACATTATAATTTCACTTTCTAGTGATAAACTGACTCAGAGGTAAATTTTAAAAACGTTACAGACCATGACCTGGTCAGAGTTCAGAACTGAGACATGCACAGAAGCTTTGAGTTCCCAAAGGGCTAATTCGAGACTCCTATCGGACCTATTGAGTGCTTTAAGCCTAACTTCGAGTTAGAACGAACTATGATGCCGTATGCTAGGTTCACGTGCGGCGCGTCTACATGTACTACATGTAATAGAGCTAGGATAAATAAAGCTGAAATAATGGAATGACTGACAACGGGAAATATTTGCAATATTACAAGTGTATGACATGATCTTTTGTGTGATTTATTAATATGAATCTAAGCAAAAGTAAGTATCAGTTTCCAGCAATAATAAATTATTCGATTTACATATGTTCCGAGTCGGTCTGTTTCCGAAAGTCCGTGGATACTAAAAAGGAGGGGAGCCGAAACAGCCCCAGGCCCATTCAGAATTTTCGCGTATTCTTTCTTTTCCCATTACGTCAAGCTGATGCTGAGCGTTTTACTAACTGATGCAGTTGGCAGAATTGCTTACAGCCTTTTAGTTGAAGTCTGTAGCTAGCCTGCGTAGCATGGCGATTTTGTCGAACCGGGCGCAGGAGAGCAGGAGCGCCTCAATCTCCTCACGGTTTCTCAGCCATCGCCCGCTTTTATTACTTAGCGCTCCCAACAACGGCTTGGAAACTAAAATTTGATAGCATTTTGTTTTGAATGAGGGTATGGGCATGATTTTCAGTTGAACATGCCTAGCGAGCGTAAAAATCGCATCCAGTCTGAGGATTAATGAGAGAGGGAAAATTTTATATATTTAGGCATGACAAAATTCAAGGGAACATTGGTACTTAGAAATAACATCTCATAGGCATGGAAAAAATGGGTTCATGCCCTCGCAGCCCAAAATTGACCCAGCTAAACTTAGGCCCAGATCTCTCGCCGGGTTGATAATTCATTCCCAGTTTTTGCTCCTCTGGTTTGCCATGGCATGCCGATCGTGAAGCCAGTTGGTTTGGCATGCCCGGCATGCCGGGCATGAAATTGGCATGCCCATCGAGACTGATTTTGATGTTCGCTTCAGCATCATATCCTGAGAATCACATATAATCGCCAAATATATCTTAGGGAGCTTGAAGTTACATGTTTCATGCCTGGCAATAAATGCAGATTATAACAAAAAAGTCACAATGTGTGTCTGAAGACAGAAGCCTGGATTTAGAAATAAAAAGCACAACAAAACAACATTATTCATGCATGAAATAGAATACTTCACTTGTAATCAAAGATTAATCCTTTTATTTCAAACCAATACTGACATTTCCGGTGAGGGTAAAAGGCGGAATGAGTTTGCGGAATGGCATGTGGCATGGCTTGCGGAATGACATAATTATGCAGAATGTAAAATATGGAAACTGGCGCAAAGAAATAAATTAAACTGAAAGGCATGCGCGCGTCATTGCCGCGCCTTTTTTGGCGCCAGTTTGAGTGAGCAACTGCTTCACTGGTTCACGCATTTAGGCATTTATCTAAAACATACCTGAGAATTGGCTAGGGTTCCTGAAGGCAGCGTCCAAACGAAAACATTAAAGTCCGGTAAATATAGTGAGGCGTGACCAAAATAACTTAGTCTCCTCGATTGTAAAGTAACAAGACGAAATATCTTCTTTCTCCGTTATCCTTAGCGAATTACCATTGTTAAAATCCTTATTTTTCGATAGAAGGGAGTACCAGAATACTTAATTGTGCGGTTGATTTTTTGCTTCTTCAAAATACTGTCGGCACCGAAAATATTACTCCTTCGATCAAGAATTACGCTGCGTTACTTCCGTCTCTTCAAAGATACAATGTGACACGTGTAGTCACGGAACAGACTGTCACGCAGAGTCGCAGACAGGTAAAGTTCATCGTTTCAAAATGGCTAAAATTAACCCAGTTTCACCTTTTTACCTCATTGTTTGATTGAAAAAATCAATTTTGCAAAGGAAAAACCTACAAGACGTACGAAAAACGAGCCTTTAGGCTGTAAATATCTATTTATGTGCGTTTCGAAATTGGAAGTGTTTACACAATACAGACAATTACCGCCAGCCTACCATGAAAATTCCTGAACTTCGATGGTGTCTTACAGAGATTTCCTTCACTTACCCAAGCCAATTCCCAGGTATGTTTTAAATGAATGTCTAAATGTGTGATTTAAATAGCAAGAAGAGAATTTGGAGTTATACCACATGTTAAATATTGCCGTCGAAAATGAGTAACGAGCTTAAATTTTGTCCCTCATTTTTAAAATTATTTCAGTACGACCAGCTTCCTATTGTCCAGAAAAAATCTTCTAGTGGAAGGAAAGAATTTTTCTGTTCGTGGAAAGTGTCCAAATTTCTCCATCCAGCTTCGTTTGCGAACACGAGGAAAGCTGATGTTAGCGAATTTCAGGTTAAAAATTGATGCAGTTTGAGACGGACTCCGACATCGAAAACCGATGTTCTATTTTTTCTCACCAATGAAAGGCTTTCGGCGGGAACAATCTACGTTAGGTTCTTATAAACCTAAAAGCTATCTATGAACAAAAATGAAAGAACTTGATTTTTCAACTCTTGCCACGAAATTAACATTTTGGTCGATTTTTCTGTTTCGCACGTCTCAAGCTCGCAACTGAGGAAACAAAATACAAGATTCGATTCATCTCTGAAAATTATCAATTATGTCACGATCACGTAACCCACAGTCTCATAAAGAAACACTTCTCACACGGTTTGGAATACAAATATAGGTAACAAGAAACTGTTAAGTTAATCGTACAGACATCTTTTGCTGAAAAAATTAATTAAAGTAGAAGGGAGCGTGACCTTCGAAAACGTCTTTTCTTCAATAGACGAAGAACCTTTTCTGCTGTGCGGACAAGGCTGGATTCGTGGTTTTTTGATAGTCATCGTATGTTTAATAAGCCCGCAAGATTAAAACAGAGGCTGCGTTTGCAAATTGATTGGCGCCAAAAAAGGGCGCCTTTTCAGTTTAATTTATTTCTTTGAAAACGATCAGCGTATATTAAATTCCGCATAATTATGTCATTCCGCAAGCTATGCCACATGCCATTCCGCAAACTCATTCCGCCTTTTACCCTCACCGTGACATTTCTGGGTCCAGATTTGATCGCGGAAAAGCGTTTTAAACAATAAGATAACAAATCTTCTCAGTATAAACTTATCCATGATTAAGTTTTATCGCGTCGGAATGTTTCCCGGTCAACAGCATCAAAAGACTGGTTAAAATTAAGGTTACCAGGTCGTTCAAGTCAGTACGAGAGTACGACGTTAATGCTGTTAATACTGCAAAGACGTTCTGATTTGGTGAATTTGGACTGCCTTCTCAGAGAGATTTTGCTTAGGTTTTCAGTGCGCTTCTTGTCCGCTATGCGA